CAAATCTCTGACACTACACCTCTGCCCCTTGATAAAGGAAAAAATAAAAAAACTGTAACAGTCACTGAAACTACAACCAACAACAAAAAAGATGAAATGAACGTCAACGGTCCCTCTGACGCGTCTGAAAATACTATTAATACTACTTTAATTGCGTTTGCTACACCACTCCTCAGTGCTGAAAAATTTTTTGCATATATTTCACTTAAAAAATATCCTGGAGCTAACCCCCAACAGAAGATCACTAAAATCACTGACAAATATTGTTTCAACTACACTTCCTTTGCTTGAGTCATACGTGGAAAACTTTCTGCTGATCCTTCAATTAACATTCTCAAGGTTGCCTTTTTTGACTCTAACGAACGTGATGATCTTTGTAAAATGCAGATTTCTAATACGGATAAGACCATATTTTTACCCCTGGTTATACAAAAATTGCACCCTTTTGTACTTGTACAGTTAATCATAGTAACTGAGATCCCGTTAGATTTTACAGTTATACGAATTAAAAATTTTTCTTCCATTATAGTAATATCATATGTTGCATCATAAAAACTAGAAATTTGTGGTAACGCGCTACCATCACCTTTGATGACAAAGTCAATTTTGACATTCTTCAAGCGACTGATGGATTGCTTATTATTAATGACTCTGTTCATATGCATATGTGTGACCAGAACAGAAAAAAAATCTAAGATCATTCCAAATTCTCAAAAAAATTAACTAACCTTTCACGAGGAACCACAGCACGTGACCTATATAACATCGGTAAGATGGTAGACGCTACAGCTTAGATCGTTTCATGAGTAAGATCCAATTATAATTATTTGTAATATACGTACTTTTATTTTCGCAATGCGAAGGAAGCTGATGCTACTATTATGACTGATAATCTTACGCTCAACAATAAAAAACTCGAATGGACTGATGTGAAAATTAAACTATTTGCCATTTTCTCTTCAACACATCACAACGCGTCCTCGTGTTCCAAAAACATAATACTCTAAAAGACAAAAATACTCAACACCTATATCAAAGGTTTCAACCAGCTCAATTCAATGGATATACTGCGCCTAAGAAACCTCGAAGTGCTATTAAAGATAATAACACGTTTGCTGATACTGCTAGCTCTTTTAGTTCTAATGTCAGACATTCTCAAACTCAAAACAAACAACCTTCTCCCTACCTTTCCCACCAAAGAAGCCTGTTAATCCTAGTAAAGCTACTAACAAACCCCCTGTCCTAAGGTGGAAGGATGAACCGATAGATGATGACACCATTTTGACAATACAGTGTGTTCTACTCATAATATCAAAAATGGAACAGCAGCAGGTGGATCAATGCATGACCCTGACTTTAAGAAATTTATCACTTCCCAACTTG